AAAAAAAAAAAAAAAAAAAAAATGAATTATGCCATCAGTGAGATTAGAAACAACTTGCTTTTTTAAAAATCAGATTTACTGAAATCTAATTCATATACAATAAACTATACCCATGTGAAGTGTACAATTTACGAGTTTTGACAGATGTGTACACCCTTGAAACCATCACCACAATCAAGACGCAGAACACTTCCATTATCACCCAAAGTATCCTCATGCCCCCAAAATTGGATTTTGAAAAAGATAAAAGCTGGATCCTTACCTATTCTTTACATCAAAATGCAATTCAGTATTTAAATGAAAAAGGATAAGACTAATAGAAGAAATCAAGAAGGTACACTATTCTAATATGGGTAGAAAAGAAAGCCATTCTGAAAATGACAAACCTTACCACAAAGGATTGATAAATTTGACTACATCAAATTGCTAAATTCCTGAACAGCACAAAATATAACTAACGTCAAAGACCCAACAGACTAGAAAATTATTTTCAAAACAAATGACAAAAGAACAGTATCCTTAATATATGAAATGATCTTACAAGTCAATATGAGAAACACAAATGTCCTAATACAAAGTCCATAAAGAAGATGCATAGGCAATTCACAGAAATAAAAAAAAAACAAACAGGCCCAAAGTATAAACTAAGGTTTATAAACTGTCAGAGCATTTTATTTTTATTCTCACTTGTGGTAAACTTCTGCAATAGGGAGATAGTTAATTTTAATCACCATTTCAAAAACTAAAAGATGGTTTGGCTTTTTATGGTTTTAAGAAAAACTAGGTGCAGGACCTAGAGAGGTAGCAATACATCAAAAATTCATTGTAAATTCAAATACATCTGAAAAAAATAATTACTTCATTATTTCTCATACTAGCTATGCTTGGTGATTTTACATAATTTTGTAAAAATGGACTTCATGATTCTTGGCATCCATAAAAGCGAAAGTTTGTTATTAATATGGGTAATAAAATCATTTCACAGCAAGAGGCAGTATTTCTTTATAATGCTTAATGTTTTCCATTCTAAAATTTCTAACTTACCTTTTTACCAGGAGAAGGGGGTTTAAAAGGGCTTGGAACTAATTCTTTCTTCCCTTCTTTTTTAATTGGCGGTAAAGGTTTCTCAGAAAAATAAGGATTCATGTCAAAATATTCCCTTGGGTAAAGATTTAACTTGAAAGGTGATCCTTTAACTAAACGGTGATGTTCTTCATTCTCTTTCTGTAAATTAAAGAGTTTGAAATTATATAGCATAAATTATGGGATAAATTATATAGCATGAATTATAATATTTA